CGCGCGTCACCTTCGGGGGCGCTCCCACGCGTGCGCACGCCACTGCAGGTATGTACCCCGCGGTTTGGCGGGTACGCGCGGGCGGGCGCGCGCCAGGGGGCTTTTGCGGTCGAGTTTCGCGAGCTCACGACTTCGCCGATTTCGCCGTTCTCAACGCCTTCGGGGTCCCCCGCTGAGGCGCGCGTCGGGCGATGCACTCCGAGGTGGGCAACCCCCGACGCGAAACAACCCCGCGCCGGCGCCCGCGACGCGATGATTATCGAAATCAAAAAATTTTATTCCAATAAAATGTCGCGAACTGCCGATTTGGCCTCGGTCGGTCAGCTCGTCCGAGGTCGCGCGTCCACTCCTCCACGCCGCCGGCTCCGGCGAGTCGCGGCGGACCTCCGCCGGCCCCGGCGAGTCGCTCTCTTCGACCCCATGAGCGGACGGCTGTCTCGTTCCGGAAGCTCTCGACTGTCGGGCGACGAACGACCAGGGCCAGTGTAACGGCAACTCCCTCCTCCAAGCCGCGCCGAAGGCGCCCGGGCCGAGACGAGCTCTCCTGGGCTCTACCAAAGTTGAGGAACCTACCGCCTACTCCTCGAAGCCGTACTGGTCGCGGAAGAACGCCGCGCGCGCAGGCCCCGGCGGCGCGTCGTGCGCGTAGTCGATGGTCAGCTCCTCGCCGGCCTGGACCTCGCGGCTCGCGTAGAACGCCGGCTCGCTGCGGTCGTCCCAGGCGATCTCGAGCGTCGCGTCCGCCGCGTGGTTGAGGAACGACGCGAGGAAGGGCAGCGCGACGGACGACCCGTCCGCGGCGGCGCGCAGCGCGTTGAGGTGGACGCGGCCGCAGACGCCAGCGTACCAGGCCTCGCTGAGGAAGTCGATCGGCGCGAAGCGCAGCGCGTGGCGCACGTCCGCGCAGTCCTCGGCCCAGGGCTCGGGAATCGCGCCGAGGCGCGGCGCGCACAGCGACGCCACGGCGACGGCGTAGGCCGACCCCTCCGCGGGCTCCGTCGCGAGGCGCGCGGCGACCTGCGCGACGAGGCGCGGGTAGCGCCGGTCGCTCCGGAGCAGCGACCGCGCCGCCGCGTCGTAGTCCTCGAACGCCGCCCGCGCGTCCGCGGCGCCCGTCGGCGGCGGCAGCGCGAAGGGCGCGCGGGACGAGTGCGCGAGCGCCTCCGTCGCGGGCACGACGAGCGCGCCCGCGGGATGCGTCAGCGTCGCCAGGACGCCGCGGCCGCGGCCGGCGAGCTCGGCGACCTCGATGCCCAGCTGCTTCGTTTGCAGCATGGTGTTAAGTATGTGGAGCGGGAGGCGGCCGCTCATCCTGCGAGGTGATGCAAGGCCGCGAGACGACAGCACTGCCAGAGACGATGGACGCCTTTGTTGCGCGGCCGCCGGAGCTGTGGCAGCAAAGACGATGGACGCCTTTGTGTGTTGCGCCTGTGGCAGCAGTGG